CACATGCACACACACACGCAAGCACGCATGCACACACACACGCACAAACAAGTATTAGTGATGTTATGTGAAATTTAAACTTTTTACTTTTTTAATTCATCTTCTTGGTATTTTTATTTTATTTACTTATTGCTTTTATTCATTATTATTTATGTGTTAATATTTATTTACCTTTATTAATTTATTGAATAAATATTTTATTAAATATTAAACTAAAATAATCTTTAATTATTATTTATTTATATTTCATTATACTTTATTTATTTTTAGCTAATTAAACAAGATTAAAACTAAATTAAAAAAGTGACTTTACAGTGGTATAGTTTCTTTGTAATTTTTGTTATTTGTTTATTTATTTGTTATTAATTTATTGAATTATTTAACTGTATTTGTTTATATTTAATTATTTATAAAATTTTAGCCAGTTCAACATGGGAAATGAATACAGCGATCAAGACTGGCATTATTTTTATAATAATACAAGAACATTAATATGGTTACAAAATGTTTACCACTTCGAAACTATTAACTATACATTTTTATTTAATTTTATTTATTTATATTTAATTTATTTTTTATATATAATTATTTTTATTTATTTATTTTTAGGTAGTTAAAGAAAAGACTGGCATTATTTCTATAATACAAGAACAGTAATATTGTTACAAAATGCTTAGCAATTTAAAACTATTAACTATTAATTTAAACTACTTACTTTCTTAATTCATGTTTCTGGTCCTTTTAATTTTATTTATTTATTTCCCTTCTTACTCTTAGGTAGTTAAACAAGGAAAATAAATACAGCGACCAAGACTGGTATTATTTCCACCAATTATTTCAAAATACAAAAACATTAACATGGTTACAAAATTTTTAAAACATAAATTAAAAATATTTACTCTTAATTCATGTTCCTGGTCTTTTTAAATTGTATGTATTTATTTTTGTATGCATGTATGCATGTATTTATTCATTCATTCATTTAGCTACTTAACTAATATTAACCATATTATCAATCAACTATACACAATAGAATCCATAGAATTCACCTGTAACTCACAAAGTTAAATGCATCCATTTTCCATTCAAAAAACACTTTTTCTAATTTAATAGAAGTCTGATTATATGGGTTTGATGTATTCAAAAAAGTCTTCTATCTTCTATCCTTTGCACATATATTGCGTATTATATCCTTCCTTTCTTAACCGCAAGTGGCTTCATTTTTAATCATTTTCTTGTAATTGCATTTGTGCTGGTTTGTGTGCATTTACCCGGTTTCCTCTTAGACGGCTCTTGCATCTGAATCCTCTCGATTTCAGCCAAACATGGAGGTTCTGCAAAAAGTACGTGAAAAAAATTATATAAAAAAATCAATTACACAGCAGTCCATCTCTCAAATCACACATGTGGTAAGATAAAATAAAATAATAAAATTATATATTAACATTAAAATGATACAATTTATGGTTCAGAAGAACCATCAGAGATTTTAATAATTCTTTAAAATATTTTGTAATCACTTTAAAATTCCCTTTTTTTTCCGCTTTTGCTCATTTTTCCCTAGTGGTCCACTTGCAATGTTATTTGTTTTTGCACTGAAACATAATTTTGCTGATCATTTCCCAAGAAAAGCACATGCCACACTCACTCTCTCTCCAGAAGCACAGGCACCACTCTGCCGTGGAAACCTTCCCGTCGCGGTACGAGTCGCACGAGTTAAAGAAGGGCCTGATGCACACTTCATACTTCTCCAGGTTTACGGCGGCCAGCTCGGACTGATCCAGGAACAGGTCGTTACTGGTGTCCAGCTTGGAGAACATCCAGCCGATGGAGTCCTTACAGCCGGCCACGAGCCCCCGGTCAAACACTGCAGAGGAACAAACTGAGATTCAGAGCGATAAGCCAACAATTTAACTCTTTTCCTGCCAAACACGGAATTATCCGGGTTTCTGTGTTATCGCTGTTATACACTAGGGGGCGCTATTACGCAGCTCTTGAATGAGTCTAGATAGAAAGTGCCGATCAAAAACACAGACCAGGAAGACGCAGAAACAAGCGAAATCATATATAAGCATATGCATATGAAAAATAATGCGATCATCGACACTAAACGCATATAAATGAAAACTGCCTAATGTTAGAGAGTGAAATGTGGATCCAGAAAGTGTTAAAGGACTGTGCAAGCTTTGCTGTTGGAAGCCATCTACTGCATCTGATAATATTACTGAATATGATTCAGATGTAGATTTTTTTGCTTTTTGCTAAAAATGTTGCTTTTTTTATGAAACCTACCTACATTCAAGTGTTGATTAAAAAACAATGCTTGAAGCTAGAATAAAACGAGGTATTTTGTTTTAAAGTAGAGGGTCTTTATTTTGATGTATTGCATGTTCATATATTCATACAACACAATATTCTGGGGGCCATTAAACTTTTGTGAAAATCAGCAAAAATGCAGGTGGTGGCTGGCAACTTTTTCCAAAAACGCTGGCGGGGAAAGAGTTAAAAAATAATAAGTGTAACAGTATGCATTATGAAAGCTCAAGAGAGATAATACATGATAATATACTCAACTGATCATAAGAAGAAAGAGGGGACACTGATTTTTCTTTTTTTTAAGGAAATTAATACTTTTATTTAGCAACGATGCATTAAATTAATCAAAAGTGACAGTAAAGACATTTCTAATGTTACAAATAAATTCTGTTCTTTTGGACTTTCTATTCATCTGTGAATCCTGAAAAATACAATGTATCACAGTTTCAACAAAAACATGAAACTACAGAAGCTACAGAAGCTTGTTTCCACCACAGGATAAAAAAAAAGTAATCATGAGTTTTGTCACAATTCTGACTTTTTTCTGAATTCTCTTGTACTGAGAAAAAAATTCTAAATTCCAAGATATAAACTCACAATTAGATGTACACTCAGAAATGCAAGAAAAAAAGTCTGAATAGTGAGATAAATATATTTTAAAAGAAATATTTAAAAATGGACTGAAATTTTTTAAATTAAATATTTATAACTAAAAAACAATAAAACTAATTATAAAATATCCTTTTCGTTTACCTGCATGTCAACATTGATAATAACTACTATTAACTATTTCCAGACATCAGAGAACCATGAACAAGTAAATCTGTTGTTAAATAATTAACAATTCTGAGAAAAAAAGTCAAAATTGTGCAATATAAACAGAATTGTTATATATAAACTTACTATTGTGAGAAAAAAAAGTCAGAATTGTGAGATAAAAAATATTACCTTTTTTATTTTTTAATTTTTGGTGAAAACAAAAAACGTAATTGCTAGATGTTAACTCATCAGAATTGTGAGATATTTCACAACTACCTTTTAAATTTTTTTATTCCATGGCGGGAATAGGTTTCCAAAGTTTTCAACATTGATAATAATCAGAAATGTTTCTTGAGCAGCAAATCAGCATATTAGAATGATTTCTGAAGATCATGTGACACTGAAGACTGGAGTAATGATGCTGAAAATACAGCTGCGCATCACAGAAATACATTACAGTTTAACAGATATTCACATAGAAAACAGCTGTTTTAAATTGTAATAATATTTCACAATTTTACGGTATTTTTAATCAAATAAATGCAGCCTCGGTAAGCAGAAGAGACTTCTTCACAGTGCAGTAAACTCTGGTGTGTTTTCACCTGATGCTGTGCTTTGTCTTCCAGAGTTGTTCTGTTTTGCATTTCCATGGAGAAGCTGAAACCAGTCTCGGAGTCTGTCGCCCAAATCTGCCAGATCCTGACCGGTGCAGAGCTCTGGAGAGACAGAAACACCAGTAAATAATGAGAAGATTCTCTTTAACTTCTGCCAGCAGATTAATAATGCAGAGGAACAATAAACTCACTCAAATGCATTAAAATTTCAACTAACTAGGCTTCATAAAACATGCATGTCTGAACTCGCTGTGACACCAAACATCATTCTGCAGGTTTACAGTGAGAGCTGATGGAGTAATGTGTGTGTGTGGACCTGGTTTGGGTTCGGGTGACGTCTCTGGATTCGTCTTGATCTTGGGTTCTGCTTTAGGAGGTCCAGGACTGATACAAGGACACGAACCAGAACACAGAACGGACAGATCCTTCCCCGAAAAACACGCCTGCTGCTCCAGCTTACACTGATCACACACACACACACACACACACACACACACTCGCGCACACACACACACACACACACACACAAGAGAGAGAGCTTCATATGAAAGAACCGCAGTGTGTTTATGTCTCAAAGCAACACTCACACACATAATTAAGCAGATATGAGCAGCTGAAGATGGGTTTTCACTATTCTGACTTAAGAACGAGTGTTTGTTGGATGTGTAAGATGTTTTGGGGATGAAGAAAGAGCTGCTAGTCAAAGGTTTCGACACGCTTGAATGAGTTCATTTTTATCATGTTAATAAAAACCTTCTGATGATATGGCCTACTTTCTAAAATAAGACAAAATACATTATAAAAAGATAAAAATAAAAACTTATATAATAAAATATGTAAATGTGTGTACATATGCATTTTTTACAAACAAAAACATTTCTGAAATGAGTTGCAGCAGATAGTGAAAAACATCGAATAAATAAATAATTATAATTTTTTTCATATTTAAAAATTAATTGAACATGAATATTTCAAAAGTATTTAAAATAAAATAGAAATAAATCTTTAATAAAAATAAAAATATATATTTAAAAATAAAAAATAAACATTACAAAAACGTTTTAAAACATTAAAATAAATTAACAAATATTTAAAAATAAATAATGATAAATAAAAACAAAATAAATATTTACAAATGAACTGAAAATGATTATTTAAAAATAAGTAAAAAATATATATAAAAATATTTTAAAATAAGTTGGAAAAAATGAAAAATACATATTTAAAAATAATTTGAAAAAACTATTAAAAAATAAATGGAAAAAACAAACAAATAAATATTAAAAAAAATATTTATTTTTTAAAAATACAAAATATTTAAAAATATAAATAAAAAACAATCAAATCGGTTTTATTTGTTTACCTGCAATCTCAGGGTGACTTCAAGATAATATTTTACATCAAAGAGGTTCGGCTGACAAAAAAGTTTGTCAATCTGTGCTCTAATTAATTCAAATAAAGGAGGAGAAGTGTCCAAACTAGAGTGACTGCTATTGCAGCCGCAGTGATGGAGCGATGAATCGATGGATCTGATAGAGAGTGTAAACTCTAGCATGTGCGCGGCTGCAGATCGCATGCGTGTGATGAATGAGGTGGGCGGCTCTGCTCCTGGTCACTGTATCGATTCATGCACTGTTTTTAATTTTGACCTTGTGTGTAAGAGACAGAAAATTACCTCCCTCCTTCCCTCCCACTCTATCTCTCCATCTCTCTCTCTTCTATCTCAATGAGCAATCTCTGTTTCCTGCGGTCACCCTTATAAATATTTGATCTGGTTCCAGCTCAAGCCTTGATGTTCTCACTGCAGCGCAGAGCAGTGTGTGTGTGTGTGTGTGAGAGTGTGTGAGAGTGTGTGTGTGTGTGTGTATATGAGTGTGTACCTGTTTTTCTATTCTGGTGGGGACTTAAACCTGAATACACACAGACTCATGGGGACTCGTGTCACGGTGGGGACCTAAATTGTGGTCCCCACGGGTAAACAAGCTAATAAATCACACAGAATTAAGTTTTTTGAAAATCTAAAAATGCAGAAAGTTTCCTGTGAGGGGTAGGTTTAGGGGTAGGGTTGGTGTAGGGCAATAGAATATACGGTCTGTACAGTAGAAAAACCATTACGCCTATGGAGAGTCCCCACAAGGATAGCAAACCAGACAGGTGTGTGTGTGTGTGTGTGTGTGGACAAACAGAGATGCAGGTTAGTTATCCTCCTGACAGAGCTGCAGGAGAGCATCACACGAGCTGCAGCAGGGCTGTCGAGCCTCCCAACGGAATGGTCCCAAAACCCCCTGTCTAAAAGCTTTAAACAGCTGCTTACAATTCCACAGCGTCTACGCTGCTCCTCTCTCAACAGGCAGTGCAAGTAAGGACGTCTGTGGGCTCTCCAATGTTTGTCTCATCTTCGTGACCCCTGGCCCCGCACACAAAAACACACTTTCGTGCGCTTCTCGAAAACCGAGCCCCCTACACCTCGCGCACTACCCCACCCTGATTTCTCATTTACTAGTCCACACTTGTGCACAGGCTGCTGAGAAATGGACGCCTGGTGTGAGGTCAGGTGTGATTCATCACGCTGCGTCTGGGCGAAGAGTTGACATTCGTAAAGGCACTCGCTCTGCTGCCATTGTAATTGAGTCTCCTTGTCTTTTCTAGGACACCAGCAAATATAACTATGTCAGGACGCCTCACAGCTATATATTACCCAGCTCAGTGAGAGAGACAAAGGGCGAGTTATCATTTGGGCAGCAGCTAAAGAGA